TAAATTCTTTTTTAATGGGAAATGCCTTTCTTGGGCTATAATTTGTTTAATTAAAGCAGGCAGAGTGTGCCTCATTAGCCTAAAACCTATTACATGGCTTCCAGCCCCTAGATGTGACCGAGAGCCCTGAGAGGCCAAAAAGAGCTCAAAAAAATCCCCCCCCCCAAAAAAAAACAGTTCTAAAGCTTTTTCTCGTTTTTAATTTTAAATCAACCATTCCCAGATTATCAAACCACGGCTCTGTGGCTGGAGCAGCCCTGAGCTCCACGTAAGCCTTCCCAGGATTGCTGCATCTGGCTAAATCCAGCCCAGATTAGAGCAAAGCTTTCATTGCACAAACTCTCCCTGGAAGGAGCAGGATGCTCGTGCTGCTGGGAAAGGGACAGAGCTGGGAACAAGGAATGCCAAAGACAGGCACCACGATCCAGAGGTGTGGGGAAACGGCCCGTGCTGTGCATTCCTCCTTCGAGAGGGAATTCGGGAAGCGGAGCCATTCCTGGAGTGTTCCAGGGTGTCTCTGGGATTACACCCTCCAGCTCCTTGCTGGAATCCTGCCGGAACCCAGCGCTCTGCAGGATCCAACAGCAGCCCAGAGCACAGCAACAGCCTCCACCACGAGGTTCTTGGCTCTCAGAGGTTTCAGCCAAGCCCATTGTGCTGTTTTCACACCCGTTTTTGTCTTTATTTCCGACCGTCTCTGACTGGGGGAAGGGTGGAAGGGGCTCCCAATTTAATTCCATAATCCCCCTAAGCCTTGCTTAATGCACTGGCTCTGTGTGGCCTCTGGGAATTTCACAGTGGCATTTTGGGTGGTTGCAGCTCTGCACTGGAAAATGGCCCATCCTTTATTTTGCAGTTATTTGAGGGAAACGGTTCCCAGGGCGGGCACTCAAATCCGTATTGCCAAAAGAAACAAAACTCTGTCACCCAGATGGGGCTGGAGCTCGGCGCTGCCACGCAGATTCCTGGATGAGGGAGCTCAGAGTCTGGCTGGAAACGGCCAAAATAATGCTAAACAGGAGCAGGAGACTTTTGCTGTTGGGGAAAAATGTTATTTTTGGCTGAGGGGGCGGCCGGGGCAGAGTCCCCAGCTCGGGGATCCCACCGGGGATGGATCCCCCCAGACGTGGGCACAGCTCACCCCGACCTCCCCTGGGCTGGGAGGGATGGAAGTGCTGCAGGAGGGAAGTTCCAGCAAGAGTTTTTGTCCTGCTGCTTCCTTCTCCCGACAGCAAAGGAGTGCAGCAGCCTGGCTTGCTTTCCACATGCTCAAGAAAGGCAAAACGAGTGTTGAATGAGCATCAAAGCACCTCACGAGCCTCTGCTCTCCTGAAATTCCTTGGCTGGTGCTCAGCTCCCAGGATTTCTCCAGTGTCTGCTGGAACCTGATGAATTCAGCCAGCAGTGAGTGAAAACCTGTGCCACGAGGTCAGCATTGCTCCCCACGGGATTTTTCCAGGTCCCATTTCAGGGTGCACTGTATCTCCCGTGGAAATTCCAGTCATGGAATGACTCCCCAGTCATTCCAGAAGCAACTCAGGAGTCAGCAAGGACACAAAAAAATCCAAATACAAGGGAATGGAATAGTCCACAGGCAGAAGCAAAGCCAAGATGGGAAGGAGGGTTTGGAAGAAAATTCAAGGTCTGAAAGGTGTCACCTGTCACAAATTCAGTCACCAAACAGGAGGAAGGAGCAAAGAAAGGGAAATATTTGAAGATACTGAGATCTACTGATGGGGAGGGAAAGGTGTCCAGAGAGACAGCAGGAAATACATGGAGAGGAGAGAATCCTCAACAGGAAATGGCAGGACCCTCAAGATTCCAAGGGCAATGTGGAGAATATCAAGAGGTGCCTTTTTCCACCCCTACAGTCTGTGCAATTGCATTCCACGCTTATTACAACCCAGGGAGAACAATGAAACACCTCAGGGAAATAAGGACCAACGGCACAATTCTGATTTTATGGCCACCATGAGCTTCATCTCCCACCTATGGCCCGCAGGTTCCATCAGAAACTAAACCCACAGAACCTGGGGACTCCCCAAACTCTAAATAAAAGCTCTTTTATTGGTGTAAAAGAAATGAAAGGGAACAGCCAGCAAGGCAAGAACTTGCAGGTGTTGGAAACCACTTCACCAGAGGTTCAATTAAATTAGTCTATAAAAAAAAAAAAGCCTTTAAAGGGCCTCCTAAGAGTTCAAATCCTCTCCAAATGGAGATGACAGAAAACATATTCTAGCAGGTTATGGCTCAAACCCCAACAATTTAAGGCCAAAAATAGAAAAGGGATTCTGAAATCCGAAAACTCAGGATATCAGGGGAAAGACTTTTCCCAGAGATACAAAGCTGAAAGGCCACAGGGGGATGTGAATGTCCAGTAAATGATGGAAGTGCAAGAACTAAATGAAAAAGGGGGGTCTCTTTTCCACAGAGGAATTTATGGAGACTTCCATGTTAAAGCCTTTCTTAATGAGGGATAAGAGGGAGAAATCACCTCAAACTAGAATCTCTCAAAGTGGCTTTAAACTGAATATATAAAAATAATGGGAAGAAAATGCCTGTATGGGACAGCACTTCGAGAAATGTTCCAAAATCCCATCCTGGGATTTCATGATTCATAACTTAGAAAGATCATCATAAACTCACATTTCTTTTGGGAAAACTTATCTCAGCTTTCTAATCTATCACCTCATGCAGTAATTGATATTTAGTTTTATGAGACCGTATTTAAAGAGTATTAATGAGCTTATTTACAATGTCTGCATGTTAGGGATATTAATAAATATAAAAAAATACATCAAACTGTTTTAAAACTTTTTATTTCAATAAAATCAGGGATTTTAACCAACCCTGGCATGTCCCTTCCCGATATTTCTAATGTTTTTGTAAAACAAAAAATATAATTAAAACATAAAAATCCTCAAAAGTTAATGAAGAAAGGGTATGGAATATACAGGGATGTAATTTTATTAAAATTATACACCTGGCTGGGGGAGTTGAAGTAAAATTTGCATGTTCAGGGAGACAGGTGATGGATTCCCAGTTGCAGTCGGGCACTGTGTGCTCACACTTCCAGGAGAAGTCAAAAATGCAGGACTTGGCTCTAAAACTGACAAAAATCACGAACCAAACATGAAAGGCTTATTTTCAAACATCTTCCATGACGTGAAGTTGCTGAGTCAGCCCAGCAGGAGACACCAGGTATTTTGGGGATCAGGAGACCCCCGGCTTGCAGCTGCCATGGACACCTCGGGAAGAGCTGGAAAAGGTTGGGAACAGGGAGCTTGATCCCAAACAGGGGCTCCTGGGGACACGGCTCAGAATCCCTCAGACAGGCAGGGATGTGCTGACTGCAACAGTAACTCCAACAAGAACAAAACACACCTTATCACTTACAACCAGCAGTAATTTTCCTGCTGTAAAACGTGGGGGGGTTCCAGGCACTTTTGGGGGACAAAGCCGGAATTCTGAGATGCCGAGGACGGACCTGACACTGAGTTTATTCCCCTGGTCCTTCTGCTGGCAGAGCCGCCCCTTTTCCCCGGCGTTTCATCCGCAGCTGAAATTGTGCATTTCTGGGTATAAACGGAGACAAGGAAAACGTGTAAGGAATAGTCAGAAATGTAATTTCTTTGCAAAGCAGGCGGGTTTAGCCCCCCCAGCTGCAGCAGGGCTGTACAGCCCACCCAGCTGCTCCCAGCTCACACTAATGGCTGCCATAAGGAATAGGAGACACGGATCCGTCCACGGAGCACGGGAGGACACCGCGCCACGCACGAGGAATTTGGGCTGTGCTGAGTGGGTTTGAGCATTCTCAAAAGGCAGAAACATCACATCTGCGTCGCGCAGAACAAGTAATTTATCAAGGAGATGAAGTATTATGTGACAGAATTCCGAAACAAAGGCGAGCGGCGTCCTGGCTGCTCCTCCATCGCCGTTCCTCCAGGATAATGTTACACCCAACTCTTGGATGTCGGGCACCATCTAGAGGAATGGCTGCAATGATGCAGCAGGGAAATGAGATACTAAATTATTAAAACCTGCAAAAAACCTAGAGCACATCTTGTATAATATCTAACAGCTATTTATTTATTATTTACAGCTCTTACTGAGCTGGGAGAAAACCCCCAGGAGGAAGCAGGAATTCGGATACTTGTCCTGCAAAACAGGATGTGGGTTTGCACACAGCAGCCCTGCACTCCAGCAACTGTAATTAGTGCTAATTATTTTGCACCTCATAAATTTATTAGAATAAATAACTATGATATCAAAATCTGATTTTGCTGTATTTAGAGATCTTAAAGCAATGACTTTTCAATGTCCCTATTTGCTCCCAGTTGTGCAGCTCAAGGCACCAACCTCTAAATTCCTTCTAAACACCTCTTGGGTTTTTTTATCAGCTAAATAAAACTTTGGATTTAATTTAATTACTATCCTTGTTTACCATTTAGCTCCATATGAGCAGGATAGAAGTCCTTGTGGGTCCCTTCCAACTCAGGATATTCTATTAAAAAAAGCTGAAAATGTTTAATTTATTCCAGTGTTTAAATCCAGCTGGATTCAGCCATGTGCATCCCCAGCTACATTTCTTGGAAAGTTACAATCCAGGTACAACCCACCACACCTGCACAATTCCACTCTAAACTTTGTTGTTGTTGGTTTTTTTATTTATTTGTAAATGTACATTTCTGGCTGTGACAAACCACAATCGTGTTTCCACTGTTAAAGCAGAGGTCAGGATTTGATTCATCAGGACACTAAATCATAAATAAAATACGAGAGAGAGACCTTTACCTGGTGTTCCAAGCTGGCTGTGGGGAAGTTGATTTAATTTCATAATCAAATTAAACAGGGGATTGTGTTTCCTCTCAAATACAACCCGGAGTAAATCTTTCTACAACACCAAACGGGGTGAAGTGATGGGTATTTGTGTGTTACTTCCTAAAATCCCTTAAAACCTTCAATTTCTATTTATTTAAAGAACAGTATGGAAGGAAACCTTCTCTGGCTCATTAGTCTGTTCTCCCTCCTCTCTGCCGCGGCTGCCGCTGGCATTTACATAACAGAGCTCTGCTCCGAGGAAAGATGAATCAGCACATCCATAAAATCCTGCCTTCACTCCCAGATTTACTATCATCCCCAGCATGCTGCTGCTCGGAGGCAGAGGATCCGGAAAGAGATGAGTCACGGAGATGCAAGATCCGCGTGTGGCGGGGAAATGGAGCTCCCGGGGAATGACAAGGATGGGCATTACTCAGCAGGCAGGACTCCTGCAGGGGAAAACCCGGGACAGGTGGGAAGAGGTATCGACCACAGAGCTCGTAGCATGCTTAGGGAGTAATAAAGCAGCTGGGAGAATGGCAAGGGGAGGAAGCTGAGCTGCCAGAGAGCTGGGAATGTTAGGGAGAGGCTCGGGAGCGACGGCAGAGCAGCACAGAGCAGCACAGAGCAGCACAACACAGCACAGCACAACACAGCACAGCACAACACAGCACAGCCACGGCTGTGCCAGCAGGGCCGGGGGATGATCCACAAGGGCTGTTTGGAAACGAGGGCTACTGGTTGTGCCTGCCCCCAGTGCAGGTACCTGCACGCCTGTGCTCTGCAGCACACACAGGGCACACCTGGGGCATTCCTAATGCTCTCCTCTCCTCCTGATCCACAAATCCATCTGAGCTGCGATGAGGAGCAACATGGAGCATGGCTGTGGATTTATAGGCATTAAGCAAAGAGCATGTGGCCAGGCTTCCAGCTGGAATGCTGTGGGAAGGACACAAGCAAAGCGTGGATGAGCTTATGCTGGGAGCATTTGCTATCCCAGGCTTTTGAGAGCTCATTTTAGTTACTGCTTAAAATCCCCATCGGCCCCTGATGGGCCCTAATGGAACAGTCCTGCCTGGCGGTGCTGCAGCTTCACCTGTGCCACCCCCACGCTCACAGAAAAGCAAATCATGAGTGGAGAGACTCAGTAAGACACCAAAAGGTGCCAAGGAAAAATGCCACATTCCTAAAGAAATACACAATCATGGAATCCCAGAATGGTTTGGGTTGGAAGGCACCTTAAAGCTCATCCAGTCCCACCCCCTGCCATGGGCAGGGACACCTTCCACTAGCCCAGGTTGCTCCAAGTCCCGTCCAACCTGGCCTTGGGATCCAAAGGCAGGGATCCAAGGGCAGCCACAGCTTCTCTGGGCAACCTGTGCCAGGGCCTCCCCACCCTCACAGGGTAGGATTCCTTCCCAATATCCCATCTAACCCTGCCCTCTGGCAGTTTAGAGCTGTTCCTCCTTGTCTATCACTCCAGGATGTTGTAAATATTCCCTCTCCACCTTCCCTGTAGGCTCCCTTCAGATATTGGAAGACCACAATCAGGTCTCCCTGGAGCCTTCCCTTCCCCAGGCTGAACAATCCCAAATCTCCCAGCCTTTCCTCATAACAGAGGTGTTCCAGCCCTCCAATCATCTTGGTGCCTCCTCTGGACACCTTGTCCTTCCCGTGCTGGAAGACAAGGACCCTAGGGCTGGAGGCAGCACTGCAGGTGGGATCTTACCTGAGCAGGGATATATTAGGGAATGTTAGCACCGGAATGCACCAGGAGGCAGTGCTGTGCAGTGTTTGTGGGGCCTTTTTTTCCCCCCTGACGTGGAATTTTATTCAGCTCAGGAAGATGGATTTGTACCTCTAGGGCACATTATAAAACATCATCCCTGTTTTTTCCTGGGCCTTCCCATCACGCATCAAAAGATGAGCTTGCAGTTCTGGGCTCTGAAGGCAGGTGGGAGAAGCATGACCTCTCCAAAGTGGGATTGGTGTGTGCTTTTCCTGGCTGGGATTTATTCTGGGGGCTGCACTGTCTCTCTCCCAGGAAGCTCCATGCTGCAGCCCTGGAGGCTCTGGGGTCCTTCTAGGAAGATGGGAGAGCTCTTACTATTGGGAAGCCACTGGAAGTTGCAGTTGGTGAGGTGGCACCTCGTGTCTGCTACTGATGAGCTAAGCAATGAATGTGCCCTGAGAAACTCCAAGAGTAATGTTTTGGAGCCTGCAGGAAAGGTGGAGAGAATGTTTCTACAAAGGTCTGAAGTGGCTTTAAGTTGAAGGAGGGTACATTTACATGGGATATTGGAATCCTTCCCTGTGAGGGTGGGGAGGCTCTGGCACAAGTTGCCCAGAAAAGCTGTGGCTGCTCCTGAATCCCTGGAAGTGTCCAAGGCCAGGTTGGACAGGGCTTGGAGCAACCTGGGCTAGTGGAAGGTATCCCTGCCCATGGCAGGGGGTGGGACTGTTTAAGGTGCCTTCCATCCCAAACCATTCCATGATTTTATGAACTGTCACTGGCAGCTCAAGAACTTTGGAGGATGAGGAAGAAATGGGCTCTACACACCACCCAGTCATTCCAAGCTCCTGGCACAAAACAATTTCCCCTGTGGATGGGGAGCGGGTGAGTGGAGGTGAATTATGTGGAGCAGCTCAATGTCAAAACCTCAAATCCTTCTCCAGAGACTGGCTGGGTGCCTGGAAGCATCCCAAGGAGCTGCTAGCAGGAATGACTGCACAGCAGGGAACTCTGAGCCAGCACTTCACAGCAGGCCCAGTCCTGAGCAGCTGCTTTAAATATAAGCCCAAACTGGATGTATTCCTAATGTTTCCACGGCATCGATCCGCAGTGATTCAGCTCCTGGTATTCCAGGTATGAGGGTGATTGTCGTTTGTTATTCCCTGTGGTGACTGGTTGTTAGACTGCCAAGGCTCTGGAGTCCCAACATCAATTGTCAGGTACTTGAGGTGACAAAACACAACTTTGCAGTGAGGAATGCTGTCAACTCACTTCATGCTTTAGCAACTTATTGCTGAAGTGACACCAAATTCTTGAGCTCTGACAGGAGACTTCCCACAGAAAAATATTTATTTCCATTAAAACTCTATATTGATACTGAACCTTTGTTCCTTGGGGAGTACAGGTGCTGTATCCATCGTCTTTTTATTTCCTGGTCACTGGGAGGAAACACTTTTAATCTGGCTCCTAAAGCCACTCAAACCTGAGACCTTTCCTTACATCCAGGCCTTGTTTCCCGGGAGCCAGCAAGGGCTGTCACCTTACCCCCCGTGCGGTGTGTCCCCTCCACAGCACACCCATGGGCTCCGTGCCCCTACCCATGACAGGACGTATCAGATTCCTGAACCCCTGCGTTCTCATTTAAATAAAACTGATGGGTTTGGGGACCGTGATGGGGCCCCATTCCCCAGGCGCTGGTGGGCAGGAGGAGGTCGCACCGAGGCCCCGGGTGTCTGAGGCCGGGAGCAGCAGGGCCGGGAAGGCCGGGAGGGCCGGCGGTGAGCGCCGAAGGCTTGAACCGTGAGGACTGGAAGGGCTGGAGCTGCGAGGGCCGGGCCGGGGAGCCCCGAGGCCGACAGGGCCAGGGCTGGGAGCGCTGAGGCCCTGAAGGCCGCGAGGGCCGAGCCCGCGAGCGCTCCCCCCATAACGGCGGCCGTGCCCCCCTCAGGCACAGCTCCGCTCAGCGCTGCCCCCGTGCCGGCGCTCAGAGCCCCCCGACCCAGCCCGGCGGGGCGGGTTTAGGACCGGGCCCTTCCACTCCTTCCCTTTCTTCTCCTTCCTCCTCCTCGCGCCCGTCCCTGCGGGGCCGGAAGCGCCGCCCGCCCCGTGCCGGCGCCGCCCTTCCTGCCCGCCCGTCCCGCCCGGCGCGGCCGCGCGCGCCCCCCGTCGGCGGGCGGGGGCGGTGCGGGCGGTGCCGGCGGCGCTCGGTGCGCGGAGGGAGCCGCGATGAGCCCGGGCGGGACCCGCGCCCGCACCCGCACCGGGACCCGCGCCCCGCGCCCGCCCCGCCGCGCCGGCATGCGGCCGCGCCCGCTCTAGGAGCGCCGTGCCCCTGGGCCGCCATCCGCCGCCTCCCCTCCCCCCTCCCGAGGAGGATGGCGGCGGCGGCCGCCCCGACCCAGCTGGAAGCCGGTGGGTATCGCTGGCGGCGGGGGCTGCGCTCCGCGTCCCCCCCCACCACCACCACCTCCTCCGCCACCCCCAGCTCTAACCGTGTCTAACGCCCTCTCCCCCGCCCCTCCGCAGAGCTCTACTACCTGATCGCGCGGTTCCTGCAGTCCGGACCCTGCAAGAAATCCGCCCAGGTGAGCGGAGCCGGCCGGGCCGGGCGGGCGGCCACGGGACGGGACGGGGCGGCGGAGCCGCTGCGCTGCGGGCGCCCGGCTCACGTCCTTTGTGTGTGTGTGTGTCTGTGTGTCCTTCTGTCCCCAGGTGCTGGTGGAGGAGCTGGAGGAGCACCAGGTGAGGCGCCTGCCCCGGCGGGACGGGGGAAGCCCTCGGGACGGGGGGGGTCGGGGTTGCCCTGCCCCGTCTAACCCAGCCCATCTCCGCCCGGGACACCCGGCGAGGAGCGCGGGGGCTCCGCGGCGGGGCCGGGGCAGGGCCGGGGGGCTCCTGCCCGGGGGAGCTCCTCCCGGGGGGGGCGGACGGGCCACGGCGGGGGCTCCCCGGGGAGGGCTCGCTGGGGTCTGACGGCCGCCCCTGGCCCCGTGTCCCTCCCGCAGCTGATCCCGCGGCGCCTGGACTGGCAGGGCAAGGAGCACCGCCGGAGCTTCGAGGACCTGGTGAGACAACTTTCGCTCCCGACTTTCTCGGCAACTTCCCATCCACCCCCCCTCCTCGCGCCGCCGCCGCCGCACCGGGCGCCGCGTCCCCCCCTCCCCGTGTATGGGGGTGTGTGTGTGTGTGTGTGCGCGTGTGTGCGTGCGTGTCCCCCACGGCGCTGCGGGCTGCGCCCCGCCGAGGCCGCGACGGGCCGGGAGCGCGGAAGGGAGGGCAGGGGAGGCAGCGTGGGCTCCGCGGGGCCGGGGGTACCCGGTGAGACCCCCCCCAGTCCGCCCGCAGCGCCCCCGGCCCGGCTCCATTGTGGGGCCGGGGGTTATCCGAGGGCACGCTCCGGGGCCCGCCGCGGCCAATGGCGCCGCTCCTTACATCGCGCAGAGCGCTGCGCCGCGATGTGAGGCGGCGGCTGATTGGCTGCGGCGGCGCCGCGGCGGGGCGGGGGGCGCGGGGCTCGGGTCCCCCCGGAGCCCCCGGGGCCGGGGCCGAGCCGGGCCCTTGGGGTTCCCCCGCACCGCGCTGGGCTCCACCCGGGCCCCGCAGCCCCGCGGGGGGACGTGCCGGACGTGCCGCCGGGCTGGGTCAGGCACTCCCGGCCTGCGGCGGCCTGCGCGAAAGCCGCCCCTCAGCGCGGCGGTCGGGCCTGCTGTGAAGCGCGGAAGGGGGGGGTCGGGGACGGGGATGTTGTGGCTGGTAAATGCCGGTGAAATAAACGGAGCGGCGGGTTTTGCTGAGATATAAACGTATGGATGTGTGTCATTGAGGAAGGTCAGGCCCCTCGGCAGGGCCGGGGGTGGCCCGTGTCCCTTCGCCCCCTCCCCGGGATTTGTCACTGTGGGATTGACAAACCCGAACCGTCCCAGTGCGTTCCCAAAGGGTCCGAACGGCCTTGGTGTCGTTCCTGGGAGCTCTGGGTGATGCCGTGCGGCGCTTTGCCGTTGGAATGCTGTGAACTTCCCAGTAGCTCTTACAGCACTGGTACCTGTGATCAGCACCGTCTCCTCACCGGGAAGGAATGGGAAGCACGGCCCGGCCTCTCCCACGGAGCAGTGGGGATGTGGGATTTGCCCGTGGCTGTTGCTCAAGCCCCTCTGTGCCTTGCTCAAGACGTGGTTTCCCGCTTTAGCAACGTTACAGGAGCTCAGGTGGAGACAGGAGAGCTCCTTGTGTCCACATTTGGACCAGCTGCCTTTCCCTTTCCAAGGCGTATTCAGAAATCCAGGGAAGTTGTGCTTCATCTCACCTCTGGTGGATGATTCTGGGACTGTAAATTGAGTGAGCAGACATAGAGTAAGTGTTGCATTCAATAAATTCTGATTCTCTCTTCCCAGAAAATCTGAAATCTAGCTATAGGCTGTCTCAGGTGTAGCTTGTGACTGCACCCACGATCCAAGAGGAATATTGGCAGTGCCGGTGTAAAGTCTGGTGTCAGACATACTAGTTTTGCCTAATCATACACATTTTTAACATGTACATTTTTTCCTTTCATTCTGTGTGGCATAGATAGAAAAGCTTTAAAACCTTAAAATATTTTTTGTGTGTGTATATGTTACATGTTAAAACCATATATTTTTCTTTAAAATTTCAGAAATGGGAGACAAACCATTTTAGAGTGAGTTTTGGAGTTGATGGAAAATTGCTTTTTTCTGTATAAAATTATCAAAATTAAGTCCTAAGATCACTAACTAATCCTTTTAGTTTGCCCTTTTCTCTAGTATTATTTAACTGTTTCTCATGATTTACAGGAAGGAACAGGATTATAAATGAATCATTACAGTGAGACAGGTTGATGCCAGGTGCGATGAGCTGAGCTTCTCTCTGTTAATCCTCAGAGGGCTGAGGATGGTGAAGGAAGGCTTTTCCTCCTCTCTGTGCTTGGGGTCTGTTCTGTTTGGAATTTGGACCTTTGGCTCCATATGATTGTTTATTAACCCAAACTCCTCGACTCCAGGGCTGGCTGGATGTCTGAATGCCATGTTCAGGACAGACCAGAGTTGTGAAGGACACAGATATCTCCGACCTTCATTTTAATTATCTCAGGCTTGTAATGAACCAAAATTAAATTTTCATTGCCAGCAATCAGTGCTAAAGGTTTTTTCCTACCTATTTCTGCTTTTTTGAACCCTTACAGACAGAAGACCAAAATTATTTACAGTCTCAGCTGGGTGTTGCAACTCCTCTGGTCAGGCAGGCCTGAGGTAATTGAAGTGATGAGAGTTTACAACCTGGACAAGTCTGATTTGTTTGTTTGTTTGCTCAGTATTCTTACAGAGTATTTCTGGTTCTGCTGTTTCAGCTTTGTTTTCCATCCTCAGTGTGGCTGTTCAGGTTAGCAGTGGTGTTTTTCAGAAAATATGCCAATTGTGGCCATTGAGCGCGTTGTTACTGCTCCTGAGCTTTTGGAAATGATAGGGATGTAACAACCCAGTGGCTACTGCGTGGTTTTTATCTGGGGAATGTTTACTCCCACTTCACTCGAGTTTGTAGTCAGGATCTGAAAACTCTTTCTGAGATTTCTTTGTTTCTTTTTTCTTAAAAGTTAATATTTTACTTTATATGTCAGGTACCACAAGACAGAAGAGTAATTTAAGACACACTAATAAGAATTGTACTTAGTGAGCAAAATCACGCAGAGGATGCAAGTTCATGTGCCTTTGTGTTCCCTTTGTCTTTCCTGCTTATTTCCACCTTGGAGCACTTTCTGTGTGCAATATGTGGCTGCCTGTCTAGGTAATCACAGAATCTCCTGAGCTGGAAGGGACCCACCACGATCATCCAATCCAAACCCTGGCCTTGCACAGACACCCCAACCATCCCCTCCTGTACTTGACAGCGCTGACCAAACACTCCTTGAGCTCTGTCAGCCTTGGGGCTGTGCCCTCTGCCCTGGGGAGCCTGTTCAGTGCCCACCACCCTCTGGGGGAAGAACCTTTCCCTGAGATCCAACCAGACCCTGCCCTGACACAGCTTCAGGCGCTCCCTCAGGTCCTGTCACTGTCACACAGGGCAGAGATCGGAGCTGTCCCTCGGGAGGAGCTGCAGACCCCGATGAGTCTCCCCTCAGTCTCCTCCAGCTGAATCATTCAAGTGTGCTCCAAAGTGGTTTTACTCTAGTTTTGGCTGCTGGTGGTCTTGAGACATGAGATGTGTTCGTAAAGGGGAGGGTCACAGAGTCATAGAACCCCAGACTGGTTTGGGTTGGAAGGCGCCTTAGGGCTCATCTCATTCCACCCCTGGCATGGGCAGGGGCACCTTCCACCTTCCTGCTGGAGCAGGTTGCTCCAGCCCCATCCAGCCTGGCCTTACAAAGGCCTGAAGTGTGTCCAACTTGCAGGTAATTAGTGCTGTGATTTTAAATGAGCAGCAGCCCTCAGTGAGGACTCAGCTGCTGTACAGATGAGTCAGGCTGAACGACTCCGATTATCAGTGCAGTCTCCAGTGACCTGCTGTTCCACATTATCTTTGTTTATTCCTGATAAAGGTGACTGCCTCTGCTCTGGTTTTAAGAACTTTCTGATGGCCTGTGTCTTCTGGTTCAGCCTTTTTTTGGTCTTTGTGCTGAAATATGTGTAATTTCAGGCAAAACAGAAAATCAGCTATTGTTGGACAGTGGGGAATTTGCATCCACGAACGGCTGTGCTGGTATGGAACAGCTTATGGGATTTGGCTCTGAGTTGTTGCCTTGCCCATCTGCATTGATTTAAAACTAGCCCTGACTCTGAGGTGCTGGTATTTATAGATCCTGCCAATCCCAGCATTAGCAGAGCAGAGATGTTACAGTTTTGTCACCTCAGGAAAATGTCATGTGGTAACATGGTCATTCCAACCTGTTCTCTCTGGGGAACCAAGTGGGTAAAGGCTTTTTAAATCCACGTCTATTTGCATATTGTTGGCATCTTGTGCAGGTCCAGTGTCTGAGATTCCTTCTGCTGAGATTCCCTCTTTGAGGTCATGAGCAATTTCCTGCTTGCTCAGCTGCCCTGGGCCTCTTGACCTCCTCCTCTGCTTTTTGATACAGTTGTCAATTGATTCTTAATTGATGTTTATTTTCCGAATGAGAGAAGTGCTGTAGGGACTACCTGGAGGACAGAAATGTGGGATGGGGTGGAGGAGCCTCTGAAGGGCCACGTTGCTGCCTCCCTTCAGTCTGCACCTCCTGCCTCAGGTCTGTGCTGGGAAGAGAGGTTTCACTGGGCTTCCCAAGAGAGATGGTTCTGAGCTCCCTGGTTCCCCCTTCTGGGAAGACAGACATCCTGAGTAGTCATCACAAAGAGTTCTTTTTTGTGTCCTGTTTGTTGAAACCTTTCTTGGAGGGGAAATTGTCAGCAGTCATAGAATCACAGTCGTGGAATACCCTGAGCTGGAAGGGACCCACGAGGATGATCAAGTCCAACTCCTGACCCTGCACAGGACACCCCAAAATCCCACCCTGTGCCTGAGAGGGGTGTCCAAATGGGAATCACAGGACACCTTGCTCGTGGTCTCTGAGGTGACACTTTGATGCTTCCAACCACAGGAACCTGAACAGGTTTGGAAGTTGAACTTCTCCCAGCCCTG